CGAAAAGACCCGGTTCCAGTATCTACACAGCAACAACCCAATGCAAAGTGCTTAAAACATCTAAAATCCCCGATCACAGTGCCCGCACGCACCGAACGACGACCGGAAAACGGACAATTCAGCGGCGCCTAGGACGCCAACAAGGCCCTCCTCTGCCAGGTCTGCCAGCTCCTCATTGTTGGCGCGGAAGACTAAGCGTTGCCCTGGGAGCCTGGGAGTGGCGGTGGCTGCGGTGTCCGGGAGCCTGGGTGTGGGCGTTGGTTCAGCAGACGTATCATGGGACAGGTCACCTCAAAAAAACATCGAAACACATCGGATTAAAACACATCAATGCATCTATAAATTATGAAAATGCCCCACCAGTGGGTTTAGTCGAAGCTCCCTTTTCCTAGAAGGATACTGAATAACCTTCGCTTCTGGAGGGGCTTGCTTCTCCATCTGGGTTGACTGCTTTTTGCGAACGTGTTCACTGTTTTTTGCGAACGTGTCGAAGCGAATGAGACCACGCGCCCACAGGTTGGTGAAGTGTCCTTGCTGGAGATCCGACTTTGAGACAAGACCGAAGGATCTTCCAACTCAGCAGTTTCACTAAACATAGGGTTGATTAGGATTGCATTGGGTTTTGGACAACAAACCCTGGCAAACATATGTGGCTTTGCATTCTAATATGGAGACACCCAACCAACGGTTTTTGGTCTCTTTCCCTTCGTCCCATTTTAATACACAACCATCTAGGGGTAAACATGAACCGTATTTGTGTGTGGCCCGAAACTGGACCTAGGGCAATTGCTCATTCTTCGTCGGCGGAGGAGAGGAGGTCCAATGGTTTGGGATTTGCACATAGACCCACCTGGAAGGAAATGTTTAGAGTTGTAAAGGAGTCAGTATAATTTCCGCATTGCTAGGCTAATGTTTACTTTAGGGCCTTTTTAGGGTCTTTATGGTTTTTATTGTTTTGTACAGCTGCGCTAAACTCTAAAGAGATCTAGGATGAGGATGACGAGTGGATGATACAGATGTAAGTATTCTACAGTAGATGTGCTTGTGGGGTTCAACAACTTTATGAACCCTTCACTACGGGAGATTGAATCAGACATGTCTTCAAATCGCGCTCAAATCCAAGTTGCTAGACACCCTGTCTAGTCCACGTGTGCATCAACTTCACCAGATTCTTGCCAGTCCACACCGTCATCGATGAGGTGAGAATATATATTATATATGTGTGTGTGTGCAACCCTGCAACCATTGGGTTTTTGTTCGAATTGTCCCCATCCCATGGGCTAGTAGAAGAATCTCGCAACACACATCCTCACATCTGCTTGCTGCCCTTCCCAAGTCGCATCCTCCCAAACTAGTTGAGCAAGTTGGTGAGGCCATCTCAATCTTCGGGTTCGTGACGATACACTCGCTCAAACTAACACGGAAGTGGATGGCCCTCTGGACAACCATTTTCCTCTACAATCAACTTGGGTTCACTTCCATGTTACTGGTTGGTGGCTTCAACTCACTCGAAAAAATATTCGACGGCAGTGGGATCAGTCATCAATCAAGTAAAGGTTGTAAATAGAATTACAGTACCCTACTAGTACTTCGAGTGCTCCCCACCCTGACATTTCAATCATTTGTCTTCATGCCATGGTGAGGAGCATGTTGCCATGGTCGTGAGTTTTGTAGTTGTGATTGCGTGCTTGTGATTGTGGTGTGGTTGTAATTGTGGTTGTGTGCTGGTTGAGGTCCGGTGGGGAACATTGCCAGCCAAAACTCGCGGTTGAGGTCCGGCAGGGAACACTGCCCGCCTAAGCTCGCGGTTGAGGTCCGGCGGGGAGCACTGCCACGCGACCCTCGCAGTTGAGGTCCGGCGGGGCACACTGCCACGCGACCCTCGCAGTTGAGGTCCGGCGGGGCACACTGCCACGCGACCCTCGCAGTTGAGGTCCGGAGGGGCACACTGCCACGTGACCCTCGCAGTTGAGGTCCGGCGGGGCACACTGCCACGCGACCCTCGCAGTTGAGGTCCGGCGGGGAACACTACTCGCGGTTGAGGTCGACGCAGAGGACGAGAAGAACAAGGAGGAGCAGGAGGAGAAAGTCTAACAACCCGCACCTGGCAGGTGAGGAAATATCTGAAACCAACACCCAGGTTAGTTCGCGGGATAGTCATATGTCCGATTGCTGCGAGAGATTCAACGAGCCACATGGAATCCACCATGATGATTGGCAGCGTCGGCCGTTGCTTGATCTCCTCGATGCGCGATTGGAGCACCTTGGTGAGAAAAGCATGCAGCTGGTCGCATCCAGCGTGGTCAGAATGTGGCGGTTTCACTGGCTGTTCACATCTGGCTATGGCGTCACATCTGGCTACTGGATGTTCAGAATGTCCTTGCAGTGGCTCGCCCATAAGCATGGGATATCATGGGGCAGACAGCAGATTGGACCTCAATCTGCCTGACAAAACCATGCAAACCATAAACTCCATAAATCGAAACTCTAGACGGAACTCGGCAACCTCCAAACCCACTTTCTTAAAACCATCAATCTCGCAAGGTCTGCAAGGTCTGCAAGGTGCAGCTTTACCTCTCTACGGTGGCCGTTTAAGAACCTTTCCCTCAAGGTCTTTTGCCAACTGATCCTTGCCATCCTCCCCAGCCAACTCCAACCTAAGTGCCTTCAAATCATCATTGCTCATTGCTCGCGCAGAAATTGCTTTGCTTTGGCGGCATCGGCCTCTGATGTCAGCCTTGGAGACCCAACCAGGCTCTGTGAGAGCTTGGAAGGCTGACAGGTGTGAAACTGACCTCTGATCACAGATCCACCGCCGAGGTCACAGTCACATGCCCAACTTGACCAACATCCTGAGCCCGAAAATAGATCGTGAATTCATCAATCACCATGTCCGATCCATCCTGGCCCATCGTCCTTTGATGGCCTTTAAAATATCCAAAAGTCTCCCAAAAACGTCTCAAACCCCTCGACACGACCAGACATCCTCATCTGGCAGCCTGACTCGTCACGTCGAACGTCCCGAGGAATCAGGGAGGAAGTTCCAACCGACAGGACGAGTCCCAAAAGTGACGTGTCCCAGGAGAAAGGACTCTCGATTCGGATTCACACCTTTTTCTAGGTCATATTACGTTTTTGACGCATGTGCTGTGCATTTCGGACGCTAAGGCACAGCGTCGCAAGCTTGTGATGAGTGGCGAGAGTCAAACTTTTCTCAAGAAGTTGACAAACAAAGACGGTTTGACTTCCTGCGAGCGATTGATCGAAATTACCCCAACGAAAGCCTGTTGGCTTGATTGATCTTTTTTGCCTGACTCCTTCCGTGTTTTTGCACCAACAATGGGCTCGCCACCAGCTGCCTAGCGGAATCTTTGGCCTCAAGGAACTCCATCGTTTGTTGAGGGAAGCTTTCCCACTGTAAAACCAGCATTTTCGGCTTTCCCACGCAAAAACGCTGGGAGAGATCCTGATGGAAGAAAACAAAACAAAACAGCACAGTCAGCACAGTCGCCTCTTCAGTTCTTCTCTTCTTGGCATAAGAGGCAGGAAGTTTGAAGGATTCTTATCACATCTTATCACCACTTATCCGTGTATCCCAAAGTGCTCGAATCGGTCACTGCGTGTTTTTCACCAAATCCGTCACCGGAAGAGTTCCGTCCTCCAGATCGAACGGGGGTCGAACGCTATGGTACCCAATCCCTTACTGTTGAAGAGTGCATCCTGTCGGCCATCCGATGCCACGGCGCGCCACGGCCTGTCCCCCAAAGCTTCAACCATGTGTCTCGCGGCGAAAGGAAGACAGGCCTTGGAGAGACATCGAAAGCGGTCTGGCTATCCACAGGTCACGAGCAATTGTGCATTGAAGGTCCTGTTGTATTGAAGTAGGGTATGCAGCATGCATGTGATTGTGTGGGTATGTACTTGATGCATGCGAATAGAAGTCTATGAGGAAGCATCGAAGCATCGAAAGCGCTACAGTACCAACTGTCAACAGTTGCACATCCCTGTCCAATGATTTGAATGACTCGCTTTCCTTCAGAATCTTGAGGAGCCACTGCCTCTTCCATATCACATCCAATACTTTACCAAGTACAAGTACATCTCCCAGATCTTCAAATAGCAGTGGCAAGCAATCTGGTCTTTGTATTCAACCTAACAAGCGGTTAAATTGAACAAGCCGCCTCCATGCTAGAAGTACCAAAAGCCACAGGGCACTACACGTGCGCGAGGCCATGCCGCTAGCAGCCACGCGGGCAGGTTGCTTTTTTGAGCTGATTCTGGTCTGGTCGATCTTAATATTGTTTGAGGTTGCGCCCTTCTAAAACAGCAATGACTGGTTCCCGGCTCTGATGAGAAGAGCTTGTTCAACAAGGGAAGCGGAGAAATCGGATGGCTTGACTCAACGGCGGATGTTCCAGCTCTCTTAATACGTTCGCAGCTCAAAATGTCTGCAGTCTCAAGTCGCCTTCATGATCTTTGTGGCTCTTTGATGCATGGCGTAATTGTTCTTCACAACGTGCCCATGGCGAAAACTGGTGTCCAAACAGCCGATAGAGGCGGCATCAGCTCGAGTGGCGAGAACAGGTTCAAGGCACTTGGGACATCGGATTTTACGGATGCGATGGGCATGAGTATCACCTGTCCTCTTCAGGACGACCTGCTATGTAAGTCTTGGGTGTTGCGATCATGACCGGTGATGCGAAATGGAGTGAGTAACCTGCTCAAAGGATCTCAAAGGATTTCGTGTCGAACTCACTGGGTGCCTCGGAACGCGTTGACACGCAGTTGCTGGTTGTCTGGAGAGCCCTGTGAGCTCGCATGCAAACAGAATTGCGCCTCCCATCCTCGATGTGTCATCCAACTTCATCCCATACTATCCCACCATCCCACACTATACTATATACTAAATACTATACTATACTCATTCATCCCCTTCCTATCCCAATCACCGCCTCGCAACCGGTCTCCGGTGGCCACAACCGGTCTCCGGGAGCACCGACCCCTCGAAGATCCTGAAGCCCGGCACCGGGAGCCATGCGTTGCACTCGAGCCTGGATCGGACGGATGGGTCCGGTGGATCGAGCCGTGCGTGCGTCCAAACGCTTGGAGGTCCCACGTGGACACCGGGGAACCACGAAGAACCATGAAATCCGAAAAGATGAGAAAATCCATGGAGAAAATCCGGGAACACTGGGAGTGGCACTGGAAGACAACGATTATTCGAAGCCTAAGTGGCGGAAGTGGATCTTACTAAAACTGGTATTGGACATTTGAATATTAAGAATGCTGAGGAAAGTTAAAGTTCTACAGAAGGGCAGCAGTGATATCTGCCATCAATTCACCCAAACCGCCCAAACAGGCGGTTCGGCAAAGAATGCCGTTCAGTGAAGCTCCTGGCATCAAAGGCCTTTTCTCAGCAAAAGCAAAGCGTGACCTGTTCCAATGGTGACATCTAATGACGCGGTGAGGTCTCACGAGGTCTCGCGAGCACTGAACCATTAGATTTCAGCACTAGCGGCTGAGGCGTTCAACTGGGTCTCCTTGCATAAAGTTGCCAGGCTCCTTCAAAATGTCCCATCCTTTCGCATTCGAAATCACATCGGCCGCATGGATCACTTCCAGATCCCAAGGCCAACATCATCCAGATCTTTACCGTACCAAACGCATGACAGTTTAGACCCGCGCCTCCAGGCCGTTCAGCAACAGCATGGTTCCCGATTCGAACCGCCCGTTCGCCCTAGTAATGAAAAATCTGATTGGGATGGTCGACATTGCTTCGAACTCCCAATAGTGTTAATCAAACGGATCGGCCCAATGGACGAGTTACACACGCAATCACCTCTCTTTCACCCTGCAGCGATGTCACTCGGCATCTTTCCCCAAGGTAACCATGGTGTCCACCTGTTTCCAATCGCCCAAGTCCAAATTTGAGTGTTTCACCTTAGCTTCATGATCGAGTGAGCTATAGCAGCTAGCGGACCCAAAACCGGTCATCTATGCCTCACCCACCCAACAGCCCAACAGCACAGCATGTCCTGCAAAGCGCGTTGGCTAAGCGAGTTAAGTCGGGAGGATCAAACCTCAAGTCGTGGCTAGGCGTCGAAACGGCAGAAGCGGCAGGTATCAAAACACGAGCTGATTCGGCGCATCAATAAGAGGTTCATTTTGAGCCAAACGAGTCCCAAAAGAGCTCGGCTGTGGAGACCGGAGCTGGCGCCAAAAAGGTGCTCACAACGACTTCATGTCTGTATTTTCAGCCAACCAAAACAGAAGAAGCACAAGACTCTATGGGGCAGCCGTCTTCCTGAGAGAGTGGATAACTTCGGGGAGGTCTTCTGGGGCCGTCTGTCTGTGGCCTCCTTTCTATCCGAGAGGCGCCTCGACCGTGGGCAGTGCAGATGAGGCCAAGGCCTTTCAGCATGAGAGTTGGGAGGATTCTTGTGCTTCTTTCAGGACAGCACAAAAAAAGTGGAGGCCATCGCTATTAGGTTGGAGGCCAACGCTACTTGGTTGGAGGCCATCGCTATTAGGTTTGAGGCCATTGCTACTAGGTTGGAGGCCATTGCTACTAGGTTGGAGGCCATCGCTATTAGGTTGGAGGCCATCGCTATTATATAGGTTGGGGGCCATTGCTACTAGGTTGGAGGCCATCGCTATACTAGGTTGGAGGCCATTGCTATTAGGTTGGAGGCCATCGCTATTAGGTTGGAGGCCATTTTGCTACTAGGTTGGAGGCCATGGCTACTAGGTTGGAGGCCACTGCTACTAGCTTGGAGGCCATCGCTACTAGGCTGGAGGCCATTGCTACTAGGTTGGAGGCCATTGCTACAAGGTTGGAGGCCATTGCTACTAGGTTGGAGGCCATTGCTACTAGGTT